CCATGCTGACCTTCTCACGGTTCCCTTTTACATAGTGAGGCTTCACCCTTACTGTCTCCTATGCCTGGAATATTCTTGCCTCCCCTCTCTGCCAGTCAGTCAAACCCCCTTCTCTTCCCTTGTCGCCCTCTTCAACACCATCTCTTTGGTGGCATCCTTAGGCACTATCTCAGAGGTCAGTACTCTTATGTCTCTTACAGAACGCACTGCAGAGTTCATTGCCATTTATCTTCTTACCAATGACACACTCTCTCCGGCTCTTAGGAATGACTAAATATTCAAAGGGTGAATGTTTGGCCCTAGATCCAACCTGCTGGGTCCTCCTGTCTCTGCCCCTTGAATTTCAAAAGATTCTTTTCGCTGGATCACACAAGATCATGAAGGCTGGAAAGATTCCATGTGACATATTTCTCCTCACTCTCTACAGCTCAGGGTGAAGAAATGGACACTCTCTTCCGCATTTCTCTTCAAAGAAAAACATGAAAGGAAAGTGGAAGCAAAACCAAACAGAATATGTCATGAGAATATGGATGGGACCATAATGTACAGACTGCAGGCACCTTAGCAATCATCTCAAGCAAATGTCTTCCTTTTATTCATGAGGACACTAAGGCCCAGAAAGGGGAAGAGGATTGGGTAGGGTGCAAACAGCACTGGCACCCAGGACCTCTGATTCCCTGTCCAGGGATCTGGCCTTGTTCGGTTGCCTCCCAACTCTGTCTTAAGCTTTCCTGGGGACTGAGGGGTGGCCCTGTTTCTGGGTCTCTGGGTCAGCTCACAATTATCTCCCAAACAGGCTCAGGCTGCTTTCCTGGGACCAGGAAGTTAAGAGGCTCAGCATGAAACTTCATGATGAGGCAGCGTCCTTCGCTCATGCAACCTTAGGACAGCAGTGCGCCCAGAGCCTGGCTGCAGTTCCCAACTGCGCCGACTGGCTTGGGGCCTTCCAGTGTGAGCCTCACCAAGGGCAGCGACTCATCCTTTGCTCTCCTGCGTCTGCCACCCCGCCTCTGTACCAGACACAGAGGCCGCTCTTACACAACACTCCTTCTTCCCCTCCCCACTCCCTGCACCTCCCACTGCCTCCCAGTCAGTCATGGTGAGGTCACACTCAGCCGCCGGCCCCCAGGCCTCTCTCTAAGGACGACGTGTATGTTCAGGAAGAGGGCAGTTGAGAGACTGCAGAGGCTGCTGCAAGGCATCAGGGGAAAAGTGAGCTCTGGAGTCAAAGAGATGTGGGTTCAAGTCCTGGCTCTGCCAGCTGACCGATCGGAGTGACCTTCAGCAGATTACTTAACCTCTCAAGTCCTTTGCCTAATCAGGTGGGGCTGCCTGGGAGGCGATTTCCTTACCTGTATAAGGGGGATAGTAACACTCGGTATACAGTGAGAATCAGATGAGATAAAGTGCCAAAAGCACTTTGCCCAGTGGCTCGGGGTCGCCAACTTTGGTTTACTTCCCTTGTTATGAAGCACGAGGGTATCACCGTCAGTGCAAGGGCCTGAGAAATCCTGGCGCCCACCTGCAGGCCCGCAAGTGAACTGGTGAGAATGTGAGGGTGCGGGCCTTGGTATCTGAGGCATCCGAGAGACAGTGGGAGGGAGCGAGGAGGGCCTTAGGGAGGGCGTGGACATGTGTGCTTGTGCACAGAGAAGAGCTCCAGTCTAAGTGTGTAAATGAGCGTGACCAGCTGAGCCTCTCTTCCTCCAAAATTCCAACGTCTTTAAAGAAAAGATCTTTATGTGTCTGTTCTTGTCAGTAATGGGAAATCCAAAAACCCTTCCCAGGGGAGGGTGGAACTGCCCCCTTCCCACGAGGCTCACCGAAGGGAAGTGAAAGCTAGTGAGGCCCTCCCCTGACAGAAGCCAGGAAACTTTCTCCCAACTGGTGGGGAAATCATACCCCAAAGGATGTTCAAAGGGCCAGGGCCTCTCTGTAGGCTGCTGGGGCCAGAGGGGCTGTCCCTAGCCTTGTCCTAAGCACGAGGGTTTCCCAAGCTCTAGAAAGATCACACAGGCAGCCAAACCCACCGGGCCTGTGGAGTGGGCCACCTCCGGGCTGGGCTGGTGCCACCACGTCTTGGTGTGGGATGGGTTCCTCCACGTGCATCTCGTCCAAGGGACCATGAGAGGCGGACCCTGGGCTGGGACCCTCGGAAAGCACAGGCAACAGGCTACAACCCAACCTGCCGAGGGCTCCTTCAGGATCACTCAATCCTCGGGAATGCCCTCCATCCTCCTGCCCTGGAAACAAACCTGGCCAAACTATCCCTTAGATGAGAATCTGTCTCATCTTTAAAGACCCTGAGAGAGAAGCTGATTCCACAGTCTCCCTCCCTTGGTAGCTTTTCCATTGTTTGATAAGCCACATTGGTTGCAAGTCCTTCCTCGTAGCTCACCTAGATGTGTCTTTAACTGAAGCCTACCTCTGTCTTAGGTCTTGAGGGAAGAGGGAGAGTAGTTGGCCTCCATGTGTTAGCAAACTTCCCCAATGAACACAATTGCAGAAGTTGCCTAAGAGGTTTTGGGTTAGGACTCCAGATTGTTCCTCTCCAACTGTGAAGGATGTACCCAGAGTTAAAAGCCTTTCAGGAAATGTTAGTAGGGACTTCAAATCACTCTACAGATAAAGGAGGAGAAGAACATATGTCTGAGTTTGACCTCCACCCCTGACCTGCTTCTAAACTTGGACTCTGGATATGAGTGGGAAGGACCCCTAGTGAGTACCAAATGTATCCCCAGATTGGGGTTGTCTTTCCTTCCCCCTGGCTGTCTCCTTCTCTAGCCCACTCTTCTCTGCTTGACAAACTCTACTGACTCTTCAGAGCTAGAATCAAATATCACCTCCTCCGTGAAGCCTGCCCTGAGCTACCGGGAAGAATGAAGTATTCTCATTTCTGTTTGACACCATGCTTTTTACACGCCTTCAATAAAGCATGAATGAGATTGTATTATAATTACCCACTCAAGAGTTTCTCTCTCCCCTCCCCTCTCCCTCTCCCTCTATCTCTATCTCCTCCACTCCTCAATCTAGACTGTGAGCTCCTCCAGGGAAGAGATCATGTCTTAATTTTCTTTGTATTCCCACATCTGGCACAGTACATGTTCCCTCCCCCACCCCAAATTTATGAAATAAATTAATTTTTCAGCTGAGAAAACTCATACTAAAAATATTAAGTGACTTGACCAAACTTACACAGCTAGCTGGTGGCCCAAACAGGACCCAAACCCAGGCTTTCTGACTTTGTTTCTAATTCTCACGTCTCTGCCTCACTCTAGGGCCCAGTGTTGCTTCCTGCTTGTCTCCAATTTAGACTTTGTCCCCCCAGTGAACCCTCCCACCATCTGCCTCTGACATCACACCTTGTCTTCGCCCTCAGCCCCCAATCTTCCCATCAGCCTCTAACTTCAATGGGAAGGTCCTCTCTTCATTCACCCTCCTCTTTACACATCCAGATCTATCCATCCTTCAATCCATCCAACACCACCTTCCCCTGCCTGAAACCCTCCCCGACTAACTTGAACTCCACCCAGCTTGTTCCTTTAAAGGCGCCCACCTTGTATCTCCATTGTCTCACTGAGCTGGGTTACATCCTCCTTCCAGAGCTCTTTTTGTCCTGGCTCCCCTGTTCTGTCCTCTATCTTCTTTTAAATCAGGAGTTCCTTTGGCTATTTACAATAGCCAGGACTTGGAAGAAACCTAAGTGTCCATCGACAGATGAATGGATAAAGAAGATGTGGCACATATATACAATGGAGTATTACTCAGCCATAAAAAGAAACGAAATTGAGTTATTTGTAGTGAGGTGGATGGACCTAGAGTCTGTCATACAGAGTGAAGTAAATCAGAAAGAGAGGGTTTCCCTGGTGGCGCAGTGGTTAAGAATCAGCCTGCCAATGCAGGGGACACGGGTTCGAGCCCTGGTCCGGGAAGATCCCACATGCCGCGGGGCAACTGGGTCCGTGAGCCACAGCTACTGAGCCTGCGCGTCTGGAGCCTGCGCTCCGCAACGAGAGGACGCGACAGTGAGAGGCCGCGTTGAAGAGTGGGCCCTGCTCGCCGCAACTAGAGAAAGCCCTCGCATAGAAACGAAGACCCAACACAGCCAAAAATAAATAAATAAATAAAAATTTATTAAAAATCAGAAAGAGAAAAACAAATATCGTTTGCTAACACATATATATGGAATCTAAAAAAGAAAAAAATGGTCATGAAGAACCTAGGGGCAAGGTGGGAATAAAGACGTAGACTTACAGAAAATGGACTTGAGGACATGGGGAGTGGGAAGGGTAAGCTGGGACAAAGTGAGAGAGTGGCATGGACATATATACACCACCAAACGTAAAATAGATAGCTAGTGGGAAGCAGTCGCATAGCACAGGGAGATCAGCTCGGTGCTTTATGACCAGCTAGAAGGGTGGGATAGGGAGGGTGGGAGAGAGGGAGACGCAAGAGGGAAGAGATATGGGGACATATGTATATATATAACTGATTCTCTTTGTTGTAAAGCAGAAACTGACACACCATTGTAAAGCAATTATACTTCAATAAAAATGTTAGAAATAAATGAATAAATAAATAAATCAGGAGTTCCCTGAGGAACCCAACCCTCCATCTTTTGTACCTCCACAAATTCCTCTACACAGTCAGGTCATGCAAACAGGCTTGCCCAAGAGGCAACTCAAGCTGAGCTTTGATGGGAAAAGAGTTGTGGTCTTAGATTCCAGACCACATCCAGCCTACAGATAATGCTAAATAGGGCTGCGCTGTCAGTACTCTTTTGAGGACATAATGAAGAGGTGACCCCAACGTTGGATTGTGGATTGGGGGAGGGGTTGGATGCAAAAGCCCTTGAAAGACCCCTTTCAATTCTGAGAGCTATGAGTCTATGAATAAACACCCTCAAACTTCCCTTAATCTTCTTTGTGTCCCCACACCTAACATAGTATGAATGACCCCCAAAATTTATAGAATAAAGGTTTTCTTCTGAATGTCCTTACCTGCCTGTTGAAATCTAAGCCGTTTCGATCATTTCCTGGAAGAGATTAAAAAAAAAAAAGAAAACATTAATAGCTAGCAGGATTGGAAGAGACTGAAAGTTAGTGGAAAATAGGATGTTGGGATGGGCTTATCTTTATTTTGAAAAACAACAAAATGCCTGCCCTGTGGCCAGAATCTTCTTGCTTATCCTGTTTCCTGGAAAAGTCTTTGGAAAATCTCCTTCAGGAAGGTAGGTAACCAGGGAAAGGGGAGACTGACTTGTGCAAGGTCACATAGAGTCTAACTGAGATTAGAACTTGCCACACCAGATTGCTTCTGCCAAATGCCCTCAGACAGAAGCTGTGATACATGCTGTAATGGAAAAGCAAGGAATGGCCGGCCACAAATCCTAAAGGAATTGCCTGAAGGCAGGAAGGCCTCCCGCTATCCCAGCCCTCCAGCACTGATGACACCTAAATCATGTCAGGTAGATGAGTGTCACCCCTGTTTCCACCCACTCCGAACTTTCATTCTTGGTTTTATTCATCTTTTTCCCTTTATAATAAATGTTGGGTTGAAAAAGTAAATGTGTGCTTAATAGAGAAAACTTTTTGGTACAGAAAAAGTAAAAAGTAGCAGAAAAATCCATATGCAGAGAGGCAGCTGCAGTTAATATTTTTGTATATTTTATGGTCTTTTTTATGCTTGTTTTTCCTCATTGATATATATCGCTCTGTATAGAGTTTTTTGGTTTTTTTTTTACTCAACTTTTTTTTTTTTTTTTTGCGGTACGTGGGCCTCTCACTGTTGTGGCCTCTCCCGTTGCAGAGCACAGGCTCCAGACGCGCAGGCTCAGCGGCCATGGCTCACGGGCCCAGCCGCTCCGCGGCATGTGGGATCTTCCCGGACCGGGGCACGAGCTCGTGTCCCCTGCATCGGCAGGCGGACTCTCAACCACTGCGTCACCAGCGAAGCCCTGTATAGATTTTTTACCCTGCATTTTCCAGTGAGCGTCATAATCTTTCTCCTACACTATTAAGGAACGTCATAAATCTTTCTCCTATGTTTGCAAAGATCATTTTTAATGGCTCCATAATATTCCATTTATGGAGATACCAAATCTGCTTAAACATATACCTGTTATTAGGGAAATTGCTTCCATTCTTTGCTATAATTAAATTTCCTATTCATACAGCTCTTCAGGGCAGGAGCTGCCAAACAACCTTCCTTTGTGCCCCATGGATTATTGGCTCTATAATGGCAAGAAAATGATATTAAATACCACCCAGAGCCTAGCACTCGGCTTAGTATATAATAGGAGCTCAAGTTATATTGGTTGAATGAATGAATAAATGAACATGTGAATGAATTCAGAACTTTCAATCAGAAAATTCTTCTGCTTTCCATCGGTTCTTCAATAGCTTTGGAATGAAGTCCAAATTTCTTAGTATAACATATAATTCCCTGTATGACCTGGTTTCTGCCTACCTTCCCTGCTTTGTCTGCTGCCTCTCATGATCTCACCTCCCTCCCTCCCATGTACCCTGTGCTCCAGACTCATGGAAAGCTCGCTCATGTCCAAACGCGCCACACCTCTCCCGTTTCCACACCTCCATGCACTGTTCCCTTCCACAGAGTTGGTCCCCCTTCTCTCTGGTCCTTCAGGCTTCTCTACCAGCCGCATGGCACATGTCATGTAACTCTTTATTTGTCTGCATGCTTCTCTCTCCCTCTAGTCTATGAATTCCTTGAAAACTAGGAGGATGACATTCATTTTTCTCCTCGATGGCCACCACAGTTCCTAACATGGGTCAGAGGCTCAAGAAACACCTGATAGATGAGTGAATGGGGTCCAGGAGAATCCTCTGGAGCTTTAACCTAAGCCCCCTTCCCTCTACTCTGTTCTAAACAATGGGTAAGTGAAGCCCTTGCCTGTATGATTGGTTGTGAAGCATCTCCGAGAGCAGCTGGGCCAGCAAGATGACAGCAGAAGCTGAGGGCTACAGGATTCCGAGAAAGAGGAAATTAGTGAGACGGGAAGTCATCTTTGAATAGCAGCCTGATTTTGAGACTAACGAAGACTAAATAGATAATCTGTGAGGGGAGTTAAGATGGGAAGGGCCCACAGACTGAAAATGTGTGTGTGTGTGTGTGTGTGTGTGTGTGTGTGTAGACTTAAAGATAAAATTGCTTTTATATTAAAAATTATTTCATGACATTGTAAAGGTGGCCTAGTAAGGAGTGATTTCAAAATTTGACCAAAAAGCAAATTCATTCATTCCACAAGTATTTGCTAAATACACTCCCTATACCAGGCACTGTTCTAGGCACTGGAAATATAATACTAGAAAAGATAGACAGAAGTCCTTGACCACACGGAGCTTCTTTTCTAGTTGAGGAGACATGAAAGGAATAAGAAAACAAATACATAATTTCATTTAGAGAGAGTTACTATGGAGAGCAATAATACATGGTCAGGGGAAGAGTGTGTCAGAGGCTGTCCATAAGCAGGGTGGTCTGGGGAAGATCACTCCAGACAGAGGGATCGGGACCTGAGGGAGGCAAGAACAGGCTTGCCTGCTGAGGAACAGTGACGAGGCCAGCAAGGCTGGAGACATGTGGATGGGTGTGACCAGGGGAAAGATGCCGTGGGTCTGGCAGGCGGGCTGTGTGGAAGACTTCAGCTTTCATGCCAAGGACGTTGGGAAGTGATCAGAGGGTTTTGAGCAGAGGAGTGACATGATTTGACTTAAGTGTTTACACCTGCGGTGCTCAGCCGTCGGGATGAGCAAGGAGGAAGGGAGAACAACCAGGAGGCTATCGCAGTGGGTCAGGTGAGAGGGGGCAGTGTGCAGGATAGAAGGGCACCCGTGCAGGTAGTGAGAAGGACCTGGATTTTGAATTGATAGCTGACAGGGCCAGCTGATGGCTGCAAGGAGTGGTGCAAGGGAAGGAGAGGCAGGATGATTCCTAGGGTTGGGCTTTCTCCATGGAGTGAGTGGTGGAGTCATTCCCCGAGATGGGGGTGACTCGGGGAGGAGCTGGCTGGTGGTGTAAAATCAAAAGCTATGTGCTGGGACGTGTTAACTTTGAGATGCCAGTTAAAGATCCCAGGAGAGACAGGGAAAGGAGTTTGGACTCAGGATATGTGTCAGGTCAGAAGTACAGGGTGGGTAGTTTTCAGCTTATCGGTGGTATTTAAAGCCATAGGACTTGATGAGTTTACAAAGGAACTGAGTCCAGAGGAAGGAGAATAAAAGGGTCAAGGTTGGGAATGATGGGGAAGGGCCAGCAAAGGAGATTAAGAAAGAGTGGGCACTCAGGTAGGAGGAAGACCAGGCAGGTATGGCGTCTGGAAGGCAAGAGAAGGTGTAATATCATTACCTCCAGAAGAGGTAATAACATACATGTGAATGAGACCTAGAAAGGCAGAGAAACCTTGAGGGCCAAAACAGTCTATCTTGGAGAGGTCATCGGGATTGTGAATAATTAAGAAAAGTCTTTACTTTCGATATCTGCGGATGCCGTCAGAATGTTGTTTGTGAGATCCACAAAACGCAAAAGATAAGCAAACAGCACGCAGAGATTAATTTTAAAACCCACCAGCCAACAAGAGAACAATTTCTCTTGTCCAGGAGTTTCTCCAGGGTCTTTCTCCAGAGGCCTCTCCCCTTGAGGACGCACCTGCTGCGCTTGGAGCCTGACAATGGAGTCTCCCCTTCTCATCAAACTCATCCTGGCCTGCATCGGTATCATTATCTAGTCCTCCTGGAGTCCCAGGCTGACTGAATGGCTGGACTGGAGGGGCCCAGGCCAGCCAGGGCCTCCCAGGAGACAGACCCCTTTACTCTGGGACAGCAGAGAATGGTACTAGCTCAGCACTGGGAACTGAATAAAGGTTCAGTCCCCCAAAGTGACTTCACCTCCGATGCTGATTCCACTGCTAAGCAGGTCAGAGTATTCTCAGGAGACATGGCTTCCCCCGGCTGGGGAGAAGGAGCTCAGAGCATCTGGGGGCCTAGGTGGAGACACCATGACATAGTCTAATACAGGCGTTAGTTCATTTCTGATGACACTGTTGATTCTCTCTCCAGATCTGGCTGAGGGGAAACGGCCTCAGCCCTCATTTTACTGCTGCTTCTTCCTGCTTCTCTCCCATGTTCATGGACCTTGTTCCACCTGGAACCTCTCCCCACCCAGCCTACAGGAAAGGCCTGGGAGGTGGTGCCTGGGAACTCTGGGAAAAGATCAAGCTCACTGGGGTTCTGCTGCTGCCCTAATGCTCTAGGTTGAGAGGTGACCGACAAGGATTACCCAGGACCCAAGTTATTCATTTTTGAAACAGCGAGGAGGGCACCCCTCTTTCCTAGAGAAAGAAAGGGATGCAATCACCATATTGTGGGAAATACTGGTCCACATCACCAGAAACTTGTTTTCTACCCCTTTAAGCTGCGGTGTGCAGGAGTAGCAGGGCATACTTGAAACAGTCCTGGACTTGAAGTCTGAGAATTAGGGTTCAAGTCCTGGCTCCATCGCTCCCAAGCTGTGTGACCTTGGTCAAGACAGGAAGCTCCAGAGCCTCAGGCATCTTGATGGCAAAATAAGGTCATAGTTTCAATCCCACCCACTTCCCAGGAACACAGTAAAGCTCAGCTATATGCTGGGAAGCACACTCCAGTTGCGGGCTGGGCTCCACACGTCCCGGGCCACTCCTCCATCAGGCTGAGCCTGCTCCTTTGTCAGGGACTTTGCACATGCTGTTCCTTCTGACTAGAATGCGCTCTCTCCCTAGAAAATACACATTCATCCTCCAAGACCCAACTCAGATGTCACATCCTCCATGAAACTATCCAAAGCAAAATGAGGGATTTCCTCCTCTATGTTTCCGCCTCTCTTACTTATATCTCTTCCAGCACCTACCACATTTTTTAAACGTCAGTGTTTTGTGTGTCTGTTTCCCTCATGAAACTGGGAGCTCCTAGAGCCCAGGGTTATTACATCTTATTCATTTTTGTACCCCAAGAGCCTAAAACAGTGTTTAACACATAGTAGGAA